TATAAAAGATCTAGCTCCATGTTTCTTATTGTCTATACTTTCTTTTGGACTCTAAGTTATTCATACTTTGGAGCCAGGCATGTTGGTGCATACCCGTGACCCTAGCATTCCGGAGGCTGTGAAAAGAGGACAGCAGCAAGCAGCCAAGGCCAGCCTGGGCTACCAAGTGAGTTCAAGGCCAGCCTGAATCACCTAACGAGACCCTGCCTAAAAAAGCAAAAGATATTTATACTTTGAGTTTCTTATGTAAGAGAAGTTATGTGATATTTAAGCTTGTGTATCTGATTTATTTTACTTAACATTATGGTCTCAAGGTGCATCCATTTTCCTACAAATGACTCAAATTCATCTTTTTTAAAGGCAGAGTAATACTCCATTGTGTATAACACCACATTTTCTTTATCCATTCATCCATCGATGGGCATAGAGGCTGCTTCCAAGATTTAGTTATTATGAGTTGTGCTGCTATAAGCATGGGTATTCATGTATCACTGTAATATAATGTCTTTAACTCTTTTGGGAAGATGACTAGAAGGAGAATAGCCAAATTGCAGTTTCTCTGTTGGTTGTTTCTTCTGCTGTACAGAGGCTTTTTAATTCTAAATAATCCCATTTGTTGATTTTTGATGTTATTTCTTGTGCAATCAGGGTTGTTTAGAAAGTCCTTACCTGTGCCTATGTCTGCAAGAGTTTTATCTACTTTATCTTCCAACTGCGTGTTTTTGTTTTCATATCTAGGCCTTTGATCCACTTTGATTTTATTTTGGTGCATGGTGACAGATATAGGGCAAAATTCAATCTTCAGTGTAGGTGTAACCAGTTTTCCCAGCATCATTTGTTAAAGAGCCTATCTTTCCTTTATGTGTGTTTTTGGCCCCTTTGTCAAAGATCACATGGCAGATGTGCTTGGGATTGTTTCTATATCCTCCATTCTGTTCCATTGATCCACGTGTCTGTTTTGGTGACCGTACCATGCTATTTTTATCATGTAGCTTTGTAATATAATTTGAAATTGGAATTGTAATGCCTCCTGCTTTGTTCTTATTGGCCAGGATTGCTTTGCTTTTCTAAGTCTCTTCTCGTTCCGTATGAATTTTAGGATTATTTTTTCTGGTTCTGTGAGGAATGCTTTTGCTATTTTGATTGAGATTGCAATATATCTATATATCAATCTTGGCAGGATGGTCATTTTGATAATATTGGTTCTACCTATCCAGGAATAGGAGATATCTTTCCATTTTCTGATGTCCTGTATTGAAGTTTTCATTATAGAGATCTTTCACTTCCTTTGTTAAATTAATTTCAGTAAATTAATTAATTTTAGTAAATTAATTTACTAAGTATTTAATTTTTCTTAAAGCTATATGAATAGTATTGTTTTCCTAATTTCTTTCTTAGTGAGTTCATTATTGGTGTACAAGAACTCTGATTTTTGTGTGTTGATTTTGTATCCTGCTACTCTGCTGAATTTATTAGTTCTCGGAGTCTTTTGGTGGAATTTTAGGGTCTTCCATGTAAAAGCTTCCATGTCATCTGCAAATAATGGTGGTTTGACTTCTTCCATTCTTATACAAATTCCTTTTATTTCTTTCTCTTCTTTTTTTTTTGGTACTGGGGATCGAACTCAGGTCCTTCCACTTGCGAGGCAGGCGCCGGAACCACTGAGCTACATTCCCAGCCCTTCTTTCTCTTGCCTGACTGCAGCAGCTAACCTTTTGAGTATTATAATTGAACAGGAGTGGTGAGAGTGGACAGCCTTGTCTTATTCCTGACTTTAGAGGAAAAGTTTTCAATTTTTCCCCATTTAATATGATGCTGGCAGTAAGTTTATCATAAATGGCTTTTATCAGATGGAGAGAAGATCCTTCTATATACTGATTTTCTGTAGAGGTTTTATCATGAATGGATGTGGGATTTTGTCAAAGGCATTTTCCTGCAACTATTGAGATGATCATGTGATTTTTGTCCTCACTTCTGTTTATGTGATATGTTACGTTTGTTGATTTGCATATGTTGAATCATCCTTGCATCTCTGGGATGAAGCCTACTTGGTCATTATATATGATCTTTTTGATGATTTCTTGCATTATTTCCCAGTATCTTGTTTAGGATTTTTGTGTTTATGTTCATTAAAGAGATTGGTCTGGGCTGGAGATTTAGCTCAGTGGTTCTGCCGCCTGCCTCTCAAGCGCAAGGACCCGAGTTCCATCCCTAGTACAAAAAAAAAAAAAGAGAGAGAGAGAGAGATTGGTCTGTAGTTTTCTTTTTTGTTTGGGTCCTTGTCTGGTTTTGGGATCATAGTAATGCTAGCTTCCAGGAATAATTTGGAAGTAGTCTTTCCCTTTCAGTTTTGTTAAAAAGTCTGAGTATTGGCATTAGATCTTGCTTGGAGTTATTGTAGAATTCAGTGGTGAATCTAACAGGTCCTGGGCTTTTCTTAGTTGGAAGGGTTTTTGTATTCTGCTTCAATTTCATTTTGGCTCCTTTCTTAAAAGCAGAACAGAACAAGTTTTGGGCTCATTATTTTTGTGGGCAGTAGTGTCCAGGCGAAACTTAATGACATCTGTTTCTGTTATGCTTCCTTTTATTATTTCAGAGAGCTTATGGGAAATGACATTGTTCATTCAAGTTATTCAGTGCAGATTTTTTTCAAGTGTCTACTGCGTGGCAGGTTCAGGGCACACAGCAGCAAACAAGCCAGATCCACATCCTTGTTCTCATTGTAGGAGAAGACATCAGATGATAACAAAATGAATCTGTAAGATACACGGAGCCGCAATCGTGATAAGTTCTAAGGGGGAAAAGAAAGCAGGGGAAGGGGTGGTGACCGTTGGGGTTGGGGGCTTCAATTTTAAGTCAGTGACCCATGAAGCTAGCTGAGAAGATGCTATTTGAGCAAAGACCTGAAGACGTGGAGGAAGGAGACCTGGGGCTCCACCAGGCAAGCAAAGCAGCAAATCCAAAAGGCTTGAGCTGGGCACGTGCCTGGCGTGAGGACTGCACGGAGGCCAGTGTGGCAGGGAAACACGGGAAGATGGGAGGTCTGGAAGGGACCTAAGGACCACCCGCCTGGAGCCTGGGAGGGCTTGAGGGGCTTGGCTTCTCCTCTGACCATGGCAGGACATCTTAGAGAGCTGTTCATCTTGTAGGTGGCTGTTGTTATTGTTTTGTGGTGCTGGGTATCAAGCTCATGGCCTTTTACTTGCTAGGCAAGTGCTCTGCCACTGAGCTACATTCCCAGCCCTTGATTTAAGTTTTGTGGTTTTTTTCAGGTTTCAAATGCATTTTTTATTTACTATTTTTGATGACCATAAAGAAGTGTTTCCACTATGGAGAAGAAAGTTAGCACAGTACATTTTCATGACTGGGGAATGGATTTTCAGAAGTCATCTTCAATGGGGTAAAAACTTAGAAAACCAAAACAAAAATGGCCTGAATGTTGAGATTCAGTTCTTTTATATCAAGTCCCTTGATATAAAAACAAAACAGAATTTAAAATAAAACAAAAAGAAGGGGGAGGGAAAAATTTTAAAAAGAAAAACTGAAAGCAAAAGGAGAGAAGTTAAGAGGACTCATTGCTTTTCTGACTTCTCTTCGGTCTCCTCTCCAGGGTCCTTGTTCTCCTCCTCCTCAGAGAGAGCGTCTAGCTTTTCAGCGACTTTTTCAGCATTATCATTTTTGCCCATTCCTTTTTTCTCTCTCTCTTCAATCTCTTTCCTGCATTCTTCAAACTTTGTTTTAAATTTTTGTGCTTTCTCGGCATTTAGGAAGCGGACGGCAAGCAGCTCCGGCTTGGGGTACTCATCAGCGAAGTCAGCTTGGGTATTGCAGACCCAGGCACGGCCACTGCCAGCGTTTGGCTTTAGCTCCATCCTGGGCGTGATATAGCGGTTGGCACATATCTGCAAGGTCTTAGCCCTCCTCCTGAGGAGGCCGATGGTCCCCTTATCCTTATGCTTCAGGAGCTTGACGTCACTGGCGGGTGCCTCATTCCTTCCATTCTGGACTCTCATGCTCTGAAGCAAATCGGAACAACTTTGCTCGCGTTTTTAAAAGTTCCTCCTCATCTTCCTCCAGCGTTTTAATTTCTTGCTCAGGAAGAGAAGCTATTGGTTCAAACTGGGGGTCGCGGTTGGACTCGTCTGCCTTCTCAGTAGAGGGAGGTATCGCGGTCCTCGTGAGTCTCCTCGGCGGCCGCCAGGAGGGCGCGGTGGTCGCTGACTCCGCGGCCCCTAGGCGGCTACTCGCAGCTCCTTTCCTCCGCGTCTAGCCCCTTGGTTTAAATTTTAACAGGATCTCTCTGGCAGTGTGCTGAGAGACGGGACTGCAGGGGCAAAGGGCCAAGAAGAACTTAGAAGGGACTTGGGGATGATTTGGGTAGGAAATAATGGTTATTTTGACTGGAATGGTAAAAGTGAAAATGACATCAAAGTTTAGATCTATCTTGAAGATAAAGCTGATGAGAATTGCTGGCAGGTTGTGGTGAATGAAAGAAAAAGAATTCATGGTGGCACTGAGGCTTTTGGCCTGAGCAATGGAAAGGCTAGGGTTGCCACTATTGAGACAGGAACAAGTATGGGTGGGCTTAGGGGTGAAATCTTGAATTCTGTTTTGGACATGTCAGATCCGAACCTCAGAGTGGATGCCCAAGTAGACCTGTCAAAGAGGCAAGCGGGTGTGTGGGTCTGGAGTAAAGACGTATCTGCACTTTAAATGTCAGAGGGCTGGGGATGTGGCTCAGAGGTAGAGCACTTACCTAGCACAGGAGAGGCCCTGGGTCCCACCCCCACCACTGAGGAGGGGGAAAAAGCAGCTGCTTTACAGAAAATTAGAGATAGTACATGCAAGGATAGGGCAAAAAGTGGTGGAGGGATGAATGGTACAGGGTTAAAGTGGGACAGGGATGAACGACCTTCAGGGACACGGGCAGGCAGACCAAAGTCCTGGGCTGATGGGATAAAAATGAGTGTGTGGCATCTCCTCTTCTCCTTCCTCTTCAGGGAAGAAATGCGAGCTGTGGCTCTGTGGCTGTGCCTTCACCCTGGCGGATGTCCTCCTGGGGGCCACCCTACACCGCCTCAAGTTCCTGGGACTCTCCAAGAAATACTGGGAAGATGGCAGCCGGCCCAACCTGCAGTCCTTCTTTGAGAGGGTGCAGAGACGCTTTGCCTTCCGCAAAGTCCTTGGGGACATCCATACCACCCTGCTGTCAGCTGTCATCCCCAACGCATTCCGGCTGGTCAAACGGAAACCCCCGTCATTCTTTGGGGCATCCTTCCTCATGGGCTCCCTGGGCGGGATGGGCTATTTTGCCTACTGGTACCTCAAGAAAAAATACATCTAGAGCCAGGCCCAGGGCCTGCTGTCGACTGTCGGTGTCTCTGTGCTGTGTGATTCCTAATGACCTCTCAGTAACTCACTGACCCACGAACAGTGGATGGCACTTCCCCCCTTGTTCTGAGTAATTCTATCATCAGTGTGAAAACATTCCATAGTTTAGAAGTAGACGTCGCCAATGCTATGACTTGAGGCCACGGCTCTACTAGAGGAGAGAAAGAGTGAGGCAGTGAGTCAAACAGAAACGAAACAGGAAGGCCATTTCTCTGCATTCAAGGTCTCAAGATGGAACTGTGAGGACTGGTTAGGATCTGAGGTGAGTCCCAGGATGTTCCAACCACCAGGGCCCAGGTTCTGGGAGGTGCTGGGGCTCAGAGGGCCTGACCCCTCGCCTCCTCTTCCCTCTTGCCAGGGAACTCTTCCACAGGACAAAGCCAACACCAAGACTCGACTCTTCTAACCGGTACCTCTGGCTGGGGCTGAAGAGCCAGAGGCCCCTGAAGATCAGAAGGGGCTTCGTTCTTCTCCTGGACATAAACTGAGACAGCACTGGCTCAAGCCAAGGCAGTGATACCCCAAAACCTGGCCATGGCTGGGACCAACAACATGAGCACACCCTCTCACTCCCCTCCTGATCTGGCTGGTGTGTTCGGCTTGGCTCTTCAACAGAAACCCCTGAAGGCTGCATCCACCATCCACTTCCTACCTTGAGTTGAGTTTTCCCACCCTGTGAGGTGGGACTTTCAGCAAAAGCCATGTTGACCTTCTCGGAGAAGGTCAGTCCCAGCTCAAGTGCAGGGGTGGGTCCCTCTCCACCTCCTTTTACACCCACCTTTCCCATTATTCCAGGGGCTCCCTCATGCTGCATGCACAGGGAGTTTCTGCATCCATGCTGACTCCCTTGGTCAGGTCTCACTTTCCTGTGCCTTTTGCATGCTGGGAAAGGGTCTGGGTATCACCGCTGCTCATGCATAGAAACCAATGAAAGCCCCCAATAAAGCATCCAGGAGGAGCAATTGCTTTTCGTTTCTAAAGCTGTGTTGTTTACCCAGCTCTCATTTCCAAAGTTGGGGCCAGAGGGCTGGGAACACAAGGTTTGAGAAATGGGACTTCACAAGGGCAAGCAAAAGTGGAATTCAGGTCCCCAGGTGCTGGGTCTGGCCAGCTTCTGGATAGCCTTTCCAAAGCTCTGACCTTGACACAAACCCACCTCACTTGGGCACAGTGTTTCCCAGTTTACAGAGTATGTTCACTACCATATGCTTACATTAACCTTCAGGGTGTACCCAGGGCACATGCCCTTTTCCTGAATTTCCAAGTAGGAAAAACGTTAAAATGCTCAAAGAATATTAAACCAGGAATATAAGGCATAGTTTTATAAATTTTGAAAAAACTATAAAAAACATATACATGTTTTCATCAAGGTAAAAAGTAATAAATAGCCAAGACCAAGATAATACCAGGGTAGAACTTGAAGACCACACTGTCTACCCATTGGGTTACCCAAACATCTATGCAGACTCTCCCTACTCATAACCAAAGAACACCTACATTGCACTTAGCCTACCTAGCAGGATCAACTGCCCTTGTAAAATGAGGACATGCTTATTCTCTCTCCAGAAATGGGACTCACAAAGCCCCGTCAGTGAGTTACCTCACTCTGGAGAAGGTGGGATTCTCTTCTCATTGCTCCTCAGTTTCAGATATCAGTCGTACCTCAACATACTATAGTATACAGATTAAATTTAAATTTAACCATCACCAGCATCCCTTCTATTCAGTGTGCACACACATGACAACAAAGAAGAAAACCTTTTTGGCTGCTATATTCCTCTTTCTGAAATTGATCTCAAGGTTATTGTTGACATTCCTAATCTCTCTTTTTTCCATTGGCTTTTCTATGTTGTCTTTGCCTCAGATAGCACTGCAGCTGGCTGGGGTAGTTTAAACTGGTAAAATGACTCCGATATAGGTGGTCCTTGAGTTGCTGTAATTTTCTAGTAGTTTTTTACTATTGGATGTGCAAACATTATGGGGCACTCCAGAGAATTCTGTTTCCACACATAGTCTTTCATGCTACCCACTGTATAGGATCAACCCTTGTGCTCTTGGTAATCTGCATCAATTCCCTCAGCCAGTAGATACCTACTTCTTTGCCTATAGTTTCAATGGTATGACCAGGTCAAAATGGCCAAGCAACGGTCTAAACTTCAAATTCAATTGAACCATTGATGTATTCCTTGATTGAGGCATTTCTCCTTCAGTAACTATAATTTCAAAATCCCAAGTTTCAGGTTTGGGCAGCAATAGTTTTATGAATGAGTCATTAAGTATAATGGAGTAGTTACATTCCCTTCCACCTTAGCACTGCTTGACCCACATTTTCTGGTCATGAGAGAAATAACTGGTTGGCTCAAAGCACAGTATACACTGCTCCCTCTAGGGCAGTATCCAATACTGTAGTTTCTTCCAGCTGGCACTGTAACAAACCCAGAAGTAGCCCATTCATTGTCCTGGTAAGTCCAGTTGCTTCTAGATAAGAGTATATGACAATTGCCAGGGATTTAGCTCAGTGGTTCCACTGCCTGCCTCGCAAGCACAAGGTTACGAGTTCGATCCCCAGCATGAAAAAAAAAAAAGTATATGACAAGACCAGAAAATTCCTTAGATACAAGCACACCACTGCATTTCTTTTGCTGGGATATCAACCCTTTGTTCAGAAGTAATATCATGTGGTATGGTAAGACTGCAACCAAGGTAATCATAAATGCATGCATGCAGTGGTCAAAGAAGGCAAATCCACTTAAAGAAGTAGTACACACTTCTCCCTCCATAGTGGAAGTGGTTCGGTGTGGCCAATCTGCCCCTGAAATGGCTACTGTTTACGGTGAATGGTGTCATATCAGGAACTCTAGGGAAGTTGGCTACTCAACTTAATTAGCTAAATTGGTCTTGATGACAGGAAGTCCATGTTGTCCCGTCCATTATAATTGTAGCTCAATTACCATGTCCAGACTGTATATGAACCTATTAGACAAGCCATAGGTGGATGGGGAAAAAGAATGACTGACGTCCACAGAAAATACCATCTTGTCTGTTGGTTTCTTGGCACATGGTCTCTGCAATGAGCGCTTTTTGTAGAGTATTGACATAGTGCACAATTATTCTCCCATCCAGTGCCCCTTGTTAGAGGTCCATTCATATAGCTTGCCCTACAGACTTCCTTATTACTAATCCTCCAGTCTTGTTCTTTCCATGTTCCTGATCATCCAGCCAAGCCTTCCATTCCATGCATATGTATAGGTTCATATTCTGGACTTCTGTATCCATCTTGGTAAAGCGAACAACCAGATATACTGCTGAGAACTCTGCTCACTGAAAGGATTTACCTTTGCAGAGTCTTCCAGAGCATTTCTATAGTGATGTGAGTACCTACTTCTACTTGGCGCCAGGCCTGAGCTTTTTCTTCCTGCATCAACTGATTACAGGGACTCCACCACCAGAAGACCTTAGGTGTTGTCTGAGGAAGAGGCAGCAATGTGGCAGAAGAGATGGCACTGTCTGCACATATCACTTTCACTTGATAAAATACTGCTGTATATGCATGCTTAGCATATGGCTTGATGAATCAGGTGACACCCAGGTCATGATGGAGAGCTCAGGTTGCCAATCACTTGGTGTCTCATGGCCAGGTGTTCAGTCTCTATCAGGGCCCAGTGGCAAGCCAGATGCTATTTCTCAAAAGGGCAACTATTGTTTACAAAAGATGACATAATGTTATTCTGTGTAATAGTGGGAGGCATTGAGATTTTCCTCTTAGGGCTTGCTGGAAGCTCCAGAGTGCATGCCTGTCTCATAGATAATGTCAGTACCACTGGATCTACTGGGTCATAAGGCTCAACTGGCAGAGTATCTTATATGGTCACCTAAATATGCTCTGAGACCAATTCAAACCTGGCAGCCCTATGGGTTATTCAGTAAATGGTTTGGAACAGCACATACAAACGTGTATATGTTTCCTCCCAAATCCAAAGAAGGCCACCAATTTTGTCTTTTTTCTTTTAGTGGTAGTTGAAGCAACTTGTCTTTCACTTGGAGGGAATGTTTTCCATCTCCAAAGGATATTTTAACCATTTCATTTCCAGAGAGAAGGCAGAGATGACTGTCTTGGCGACCCAAGAAGTTGAGCTTGGAAGAATGTTACACATTAGTCTCTTCTGTCTGCTGAAGCAAGAGCAATGGCAGAAGAGGAAGATCCCTGGCAGGAGGAGGATGAGGAGAAAAATCCATTTACAAACTCTCCTGAGCGCCTACCCTGGGCCAGTCTCTAAATAAGACCTAGTCCCCAACTCCAGGGGAGTTGTGCTGAAGGAGAGAGCAACATTGTTTGCAGGTCAGGAGAACTCTAGCAGCAGGACTGGAAGCAAATGAGCACAGTGTGGTAAGTGAAGGCTTTCCCTGGCTTCTTGGGAGAAGGGCTGGCTGATCAGCAGGAAGAGGGGGAGGTTTGCTGATCCTGCTGAGACTCAGATTTAATTACTCCTAGCAAAGCCAGAGAAATTCTGTTTCAGTTCAGAGGCAGAGAAGGTTTTCATCTGTAAGAAGAGCTCATTGCTCTACTTAGAACCTGAGGAAAGACTGCTGCACAACTGAGCTGCATCTCCACCAAATGCACAACACACTGCAGTTTTCCTAAAGGTATCTGCATGGAGACAGCAAGGAATCCAGGCCTGGAGAAGTGGAAAGAAACTAGATGGGGTACAGGAGGTAAAGAATATAGAATTGTTAGGGTGAATGCTGAGCTGTTTTAACAAAAAGAAACCCCAAGACCTGGAAGGGTAAAGGTTATCTTCCATTAACAAAGCGAGTGGGATACATTGGTGTGGAGCCTACTCCCTGCCCTCATTCTTTCCATGCTGTGGCTCCATTTTCCAATGCCCTATCTTCACCTACATGGTCAAAACTCAGTTGGAGAGGCTGGGGTGTAGCTCAGCAGCAGAGCACTTGCATAGTGTGTATGAGCCCCTGGGCTCTGCACCCAGCACTCCTCCAGGAAAACTAACAAACCCTCAGTCGTGGGAAGGCCAAGTTTTATGTGATATGATAGGGAAGGAACAGTGGGGGAGCAATGTGAGGCCTAGACTTGAACGAGCATCCTATCACTACTGCCCACTTAAGCAAGAACTTAATTACAAGGCTGGGGGCTGGGGATGTGGCTTAGTGGTAGAGGGCTTGCAAGGTCCAGGAACTTCAGACCTGTGCTACAGCTTGGGGACACGGTTTTCTACATTCATTGCACAATTTACCTAGGAGTCGATCTAAATTGAAAACATGGCTTCAACATATGGTTTTGTGGGTCCCCCCCTTGATAAAGTGAGTGACAATAACAGAGGCACATTAGGACTTACCGTGTACTTGACATTTATATCATGCCTTCCATACACTAGCCCCTGTTCTAAGCACTTTGCAAGTATTAATTCATTTGATCCTCATAACCTTGTGAAGTCAGTTCTATTTCCTGTTTTACAAATGAGAAAACAGAGGCACAGAGAGGTTAAGAAATTTACTCAAGGACACAAAGCCAGTGTGTATGGCACAGCCAAGATTTGAACCCAGGCTGTTTTCATCTTTTCAGTCCTTGGCTTCTCCAAGTGCTTTATGAGCTGTGACATTGTCGGGGTAGGTTGGGGGACTCTGCTTTTGATGCTCAGGACACAGTTTGGAGCTGCTTGCTTTGTTGTCTGTACCCACTGAAGGTAGATCCATGTCTCTGAATTAATGTTGTGCCCCCTGTGCCTAGCACAGAGCCTGGCACACTGCGTGTTCCTCAACTACTATGCTGGTGACTGTGCACTGAGGTGAGGCAGTAGCAATCCCGCCTTACACCCCAGAAACAGGCTCAGAGGCTGACCCGGTTGAGGACACACAGCCTGTGCCCACCTCTTTCTGCCTCCCAACGTCATGCTAGATATAATATTGCTCATTCTTTGAAGGGACTGTCTCAGATTACTACATGGAGTTACTATAATTTATGTGACTGACTGGCATTTGGGTTCTTGACAATTTTTCACGTTTGCAGACAACTGTAATCAAATCTTTCTAGAAGTGTTTCCCCATGCAAACTCCTACACTGAGACTGTTGGGTCTGCGCATTTGACGTCTGAATACTACCAGGTCACCATGTAAGCAGGTGGTACCCACCTGCAGTCCCTTCCCCTAGGGGAGAAAGCGCCTATTCATTGCTCTCGGTGTTCAACTTTAAAAGCCCTCTATGAGAGGTCACTGGGGAAATTTCTAATGATGTCTAAACTATGGGGTTCTCTTAACAGAAGCTACCTCTTTTGTTTTCTTTCTTTCTTTTTTTTTTTTAGGTGGGAGATGGGACTCAGTCTTGCCCAGGCTGATTGGAAACTCCTGGGTTCAAGTGATCCCCTTACCTCAGCCTCCCAAGTGCTGGGATTACAGGTGTGTGCCAATGTGCCCAGGTAGAACTTATCTTCTTGATACCTATTACAATGTTTTGATTTCAGAGACTTTTAAAAAGACCCCTGCAGCTCACCCCTCTAGGAATTAGGTTCATGTCCCATGTCCAATAAGCACACAGAAACCCATACAGTCGGTCCAAAATACATTAGTGTCCATGCAGAGAAAAAGGAGGTGGCAGTGATAAACTGCACCTGAAGTCAGCTCGCCTATCTCTCACTGAGAAGCCAGCTGCCACCTCAGCCCTGAGTGGGAGTTTCTTTTCATGTTGTTCTCCAAAATAAAAGCCATAATCAACTTGGGAAGAACTTTTTGTCAAGCAGAACAGAGAATAAGAGTGCAGAGGATTAGAAGGCTGGTGAATAAAAAGGAAGGCTGGTGAGACTCTAGTCTATCTACACTTTATCAGATGAGACTGAGACTCGGAGATGTTCAGCGACTACTTCAAGGTCACAGAACTGCAGAAAAAGCAGAGGCAGAACCTAATCCAATCCAGGTACAGAATCCTACCTTCTAGCTGAGAGCTCCTTGTATTGTGGCAGGGCACATTCATGGTCTCCACTGACAGCTCTTTAAGTCTGAGATTCTTCAATCTTGATGACCTTTAAAAATGACAGGAAAAGCTGGGCACAGTGGTACAAGCCTATAATACTAGCTACTAGGGAGGCTGAGGCAGGAGGATCACAAATTTGAGGCCAACCTGAGCAATTCAGCAAGATATAACTAAAAATGAAATTTTAAATAAATACTGGAGATATGGCTCAGTGGTGGAGTGCTTGTTTAATGTATGTGAGGGCTTAGGTTCAATACACTATACCATCACCTCCAAAGGAAAGTTAGGTTTCCCTTGGAAAGGGCTATATGAATAAAAATATGAAAGCTGTCTATGATGTGCCTTTGCATGTGCTATCCCCAGTGCCTTGGCTTCCTTTTCCTACAGAATTGCTTGGTCTCTTCTTTATCCTTCAATACCCAAAAGAATTGTCACTTCCTGTGAAAATCATACCTGTTTCTCTAAGGCACTGCTTGTTCCCTACTCTATGTCCCCAGGCCCTGACTGGTACTATATTTGGGTTCTGAGAATACTTAATGGTGGGACTGGTTCCTCTCCATGAGAGTAAAATTCTCAAATCAGAGATGTGTTAAATTCATCTTTGCAAACCTAGATGTGATGGTTGATCCTGATTATCAGCTTGATTGGATTGAGAAATGTCCAGGAAATTAGTAAAGCACACTTCCAGGTGGGTCTGCAGGTACCCAGAAACAAATGCATCGTGAGGGCTCCAACCTCATCCGTGGATCAATACACTGATGAGGTCATAATTTGATGGCATCATTGGGAGGTAATGGAAACTTAGGAGGCAGAGCCTCACTGAAGGGAGTGGGTCATGGGGACATGGCCTTGCGGACTATATCAGGTCCCTGGCCCCTCCCTCTCTGGTTCTTTCCCCCCTCCCTGCTTCCTGGCTGCCAGGAGGTGGGCTAATATTCTGCCTCACCTCAGGCCCAGAAACAATGGAGCCAGCCAACCATGGACTGAAACCTCTGAAACAGTGAGCCAAAATAAATCTTTTCACCTTTGACTTTTCTTCTCAGGTATTTGACCACAATGACAAAAGCTTACTAACACCCGTACACAGCTTAAGCTATGAAAGGATGGGCTTTGGAGCATAAACTCCACAAGGGTGGGATCTGATCATCTTACCCTAGTTCCTAGCTCATAACGTGAACCCAGGAAGGGGTTGTTGCTGCTGAAGGGGTGTGAACAGGGAAGCTGTGCAGCGTGAATCAATTCAAATTCTGGAGCCAGGGAGATTTCAACAGACACTGCCTAGAGGTGCCAAGCTGGTGAGCCTGGCAAGTGAGAGAGCAATAAAAGGCACAAGAAGCTGTCATGGTTAGTGGCCTCCAGGGCCACAGACCACCTGCAAAGGGGACCTCACCCCAGTGAACTTTGTCACTGCTCTTCAGCCTTCCTTTTGTGAGGTTCACCTCTCTTCTAACATGGCTGACTCAGCCCTCTGGATCATAAGACAGAGGGAGGAAGGAAGGCAGGCTAAGAAATAGATATACAGATCTACAGAGTCCACCAAAAAATGTATACACACTTCAGGAAAAGAAAAATATTATGACGTTTTTTTCAACGAATGGTGTTACCTTCATATGGGGGACCCTAGAGAATGTTATCACAGAAAACCCACCACACTGCTGGCCCTTAGAGAAGAAACGGAAAATGCATGTGGAGCAATCTCAATGACCAAGGTTACCCAAGCAGCAGTCCACCATAGTAATGAATGTCTGGAAGCTAATGGCTACCATTTTGAGCACCTCTTGTAATTGTAGAGGACAAAGGTAACTTGTATTAATCTCATGATGTCTCAATAAATTTAGCATTAAAATATTTATACAAGTTTTTCTTTTCTTTCCTTTTTGGTGTGTGGTACCGGGGATCAAACTCAGGACCTTACGCTTACCAGGCAGGCACAGCACCACTGAGCTACATCCCTGGCCTATACAAGTTTTTCTTTTCCTGAAGTGTGTATATATTTTTTGGTGGACTCTGTAGATATCAAGACTTAGGCGAGAGAGAGAGAGAGAGAGAGAGGAATACCGGCCATGATATATCCTATATGTAACAAATAATTCAAGAAAGAAACACCTACTCCCATGGTCTTTGGTTTGCTGGGCCCTGGACCTCCTTAGGGTGTTGGAAAGGAACACACACAATGCTGGAATGTAGGGTTTGATTGTCTCCATTGTGTTTTAATTTGCTTGTTTATACATGGGATCTGTGTGTATATAACAGTGGCAGGAGCCATTCTCTAAATACAATCTGGTACCCAGACGATGACAGATGAATGTGGAAATGAGGCGTCAGTGAAAGAACCTTCACATAGAGGAAAATAAGCACGGCAGAACCCTATAATCACTTATGCTCCGAAACCTCTAGTTGAGCACCTGGGGACAACAGATACTTTTCAGAAGATGAGACTATTCCAACAGACCCAGACTCTGAGTGGCCCCCAAAAGATGTTAGTTTCTCTGCCTTCTCTAGAGGAACCAGAACATTCCCAAAGTCATCGAGAAGCAGTGGCATGGAGATTATCACCTGTTAAGTACATATGCTCAGCACTTTCTATGCATCATCTCCCTTGATCCTAATGGTGCCATCTCCACTTTAGAGATGAGGAAGACAAAGTGTGGGCCACAATCGTATGGCTATTGCAAATGGGGCCAAGATCTGAACCTACATCCCATGTTTGCCTGAGCCCAAACTCTCACTTATGCATGATTTTTCTGAAGAAAAGGCAAGGTGCTAACGGGGATGGGTGTAGTTCAGAAGTAGAGGGCATGCTCAGCATATACACGGGCCTGGGCTCCATCCCAGCACTCCAAAAAAGAAAAAAAAATGGTGCTAAGAATGAGCAATTGGTGGAAGCCTAACCCATACAAGGCTGGATAACTGACATTTCCTATATATAATGTTAAGCCTAGATCAGACCTCATACGAAAAATGTTTGGAGACTGAGTTGTGACAAGTAAACTTCTGATCACCCTGTGCCCTCTGGTGCTGATCACCCATTCTCTTCTGGTGCTGAACATGGAACTTAGGGGAGACTTCAACCCCTTCAACAAGCCCTGGGCACCTACCCCAGCCCCACTCCCAAGCCTCCTGGACTGATGGAAACTTGAGTGTGGAATGCCCCTCTCTAGTCCACTTGTCACATCTTCCATAGCACTGTGGTGACACCTCACTGCCTGTGTTTCTCCCCGTTTTGGAACAACATCTCACATCTCCTGTTTTGATAAAGTTGGCCCACAGCTCAACAGCATATAAAATACATATTTTAAATATATTTCTTTTTCTTTTTTTTTTTTTTTTTTGGTACCGGGGATGGAATTCGGGTCCTTGTGCTTGAGGAGCAGGCAGCAAAACCACTGAGCTAAATCCCCGGCCCCTTTTAAATATATTTCTATATAAAAAAATTTACCCTGAAGATGTGCCAAGCTCCTAACAACCTTGGGTTGAGTTAAGCCAGTCGAGTGTAGAGCTTATCAGTTAATGGTATTATCCAGCGTGACTGGGGAAGGGGCACCAAAGCAGCTTCAAGGGCAGTTATTTATAAGGCAAGGGGCTCAGTCTGAAAGGCCTAAGGAGAAGAGAGGGGACATCTTACAAAATGTGGAGCTGTGTCTTGTGGGATGGAGGTGACAGGATTTCTAGCCCTCCCCAGCATTCTTACCAGGAAGGCTGGAAACTGAGAAGTACTGCAGAGAAGAAAGAAAAGATGAGCTGATTCCAAGGCCAGTGAACAGGCCCAGGTTTTGCACTGGTTTGTTGGTGGCGCAAGTAAGAGGGCATGGGGCCAAAGTCATGGCACCATCTAATAAGGATGTCTTCGCAACAAGGCTGGCTTCCGGCCACTGGAGGGAGACTTGACTTCACTTCTGAGATATTATAATCATGTCCAAAGGTGAAAATGACTTGGCCCACACCATAGGCACTACTGCACTTGTCCTGTGACCCTGAAACGCTCTTCTGTCTACACAACTGATATGTGGTCAGGAAAGTTTCAGTCCAAAATAGACATTTTGCAAAATTACTCTGACTCAGTTTTAAACTCACCAAATTATTAGCCTGATTTCTCATTTCATTCTTATTAGAATAACCCCATGAGGTGAAATTTAATACTATAAGCCAAGAGTCTGGTTTATAAAAAGTAAATTAGTGTTCTAGGCCGGGCATGGTGGCTTACACTTTAATCCCAGCCCTCTGGAGGCTGAGGCAGGAGGATTGCCCTGAGTTCGAGGCCAGCCTGGGTTCCATAGTAAGTTTGAGGCCAGTCTGAACTACAGAGTGAGACCCTGTCTCAAAAAAAAAAAAAAAGAAAAAAGGAAATCAGTGTTCTAAAAACAAAACCCTCAAAACAATCTACATGTGCCAAAGTGGAACACTGGAGCTCAGTCATTTTCAGGAGTTTTGTCAACAAAGAACAAACGCCATAGTTGTTATTAAAAACTATAAAGCAGTCACTAAAAATAGAGGAGGGAAAAAAGGGTAAACCTTATTGCTCCAAAATCCAACATACAACAATAGACAACATGGACAAAAATTACCATTGTTCGGTTCGTTAAAATCACCCAGTGCTGGGGCCGGGGATTTAGCTCAGTGGTTTCGCCGCCTGTTGCGCAAGCGCAAGGACCTGAGTTTGATCCCCGGCACCAAAAAAAAAAAAAAAAAATCACCCAGTGCTCAGTTATAGAAGCACTGCAGCTTAATGGCTCATTTTAGTGGCTGATCACAGCCAACTTTGATATTCAACATTCTCCTGAAGAAACAAATACCATAACCAGAGAGTGTCTTTCAGGCACTGGGGTGTTTTATACAGAACCCTGCCAGAAATAAATGCTTATGGCAAAACTGACCAGAGGGGAATACTGTTTAAAAAACAAAAAACAGGGCCGGGGATTTAGCTCAGTGGTTCTGCCGCCTGCCTCGCAAGTGCAAGGACCCGAGTTCGATCCCCCGTACCAACATCAAAAAACCAAAAAAACTCCCAGAAAACAAAAACCAGCATCAATAGCCACTGAAATCAAAAGACAACTAGAATCAGGACGAGGGCAACTGAGGAGTCCTGAGGTTCTGGCCTCTCCTTGAGCCACGTCACAGAGCGCTTCATAATTCTGTCTCTTCACTGAGCTTTCAGCTTTACCCTCTAGAGACAAAGGGTGTTCCAGATTAAGATCAAGTCTTACCAGGGACAAAAACAGTCTGGTGGGAATGATGGTTTTGGTGAAACAGGCAATATGCCTAGAAGAATCTAAGGACTGAACTCACACCCGAGACTCCACCACCATTCCCCAAAACTGCCCAGTAAGCTTCCTCTCTCAAGTGGAACCATTAATTCTGCCAATCACTAAATAAATTAAGTGGAAAATACATTAGCCATCGTCCTGCCATCCCACCTTTTGTTTCTCTCATTCCTTGTGACTGTCTTGCCTCAAATTCAGGGAAGAGCTCTGGGGAGGAAGTCCTGGAGAAAAGGATTTCTGATACCAAAATCTGTATGTCCCATACCAGCCCAGCAAACCAAACAAGGTGCCAGACACCTTCTGGGACACATCATGGAAATAAACGGCTGTGCACAGAAACATCCACATCCAAATGAAGGTCAAGAGGCCCAGGGCGACGACCAAGGTGGTAATGGCGGTATGGAGGCAGTGGCTCCGATCTGTCTTCAGCTCATGAAGCACGGCCATCTCCTCCACAATCATGAGGGCGCAGAAGGTCAGCAGGAAGGAGTGGCCTGAGACGTCAAAGCCATGCCAGAAGCCTCCTTCCCGGTGGCAGTGCTGCTTGCTCCGGTGCTCCTCTCTGACCCCCTCCAGGGCTGGTGAATGGTAGCAATTGCCTGTGTAGTGCTCGATGTTGGAGAAGAGGGCTGTGCAGATGTACCAGATGGCTGTGCCCACAAGCAAGGTGCTCAGCCGCCGTAGGACCAGGCTGGCCTTGCCTGTCAGGTGGTAGTTGGTGAGGGCAATGAAAGGCAGGAGGAGACAGAATGTCCAGGCCCAGGCCACTTTGACAAAATACCTGACAGAAGAGGAAAGTAGAGTGAAGAGGGGACATGGTGGTGAGAAAACAATGTTATGACTTGGGTCTCTGGGCTTCCAAGAGAGAGAAAATGAGAAAATGTGGCCAAAACTATAGATCCTAAGAGCTATTATGTTAAGTCCTACTATGTGCTTCACTTACTAAGTGAAGTTATTTAGTCTTTAAAGGTATGAGGTAGGTGCTATTACGAGCCCCCTTGTACAGATAAGGAAACTGAGGCACAGAGAAGCACACTGCCAATATGGAGGTCTTAAGTAAGGAGCTGGGTTCAAACCCAGTCTTGTTTTTAATACTGTGTTATTTGCTCAGGGGGCCAATAATAACTGAGCATCGACCAGATGCCAGGAACTTTTACAAACATTTACTTGCCACAGGACACTCATAATTGCCTAGAAAGAAACATGCAGTATTGTCTGTTTCATTTTAGCCCAGAATCTTGAGGCTCAGAAAAATGCAGTTCCTTGCCCAGGGCCATGCTCACACACAGCAAACACAAATTAAAACATGGGCAGAAAAAGTCTTTGAACACGGAGCTTTATTTCAAGTTTGAAGACCCAGGATTTGAACCTGACTCTGACTTCACTTTGCATACATCTCTCTAGGCATCAGTTTCCTCTACAGGGAAATCAAGTTGTGGGGACCAAATAGATTCCAAGATCCCTTCCAGATCCAATGACTCACCACTAGTTTCCTCCCATTAATTAACACAGTACCTTGGACCAAAACGCCAGAATCCATGGCTACCACCAAACAACAGGGACTCATTTGCCACTCTGCTTGGCTCCTAGCTTGCCCAGGCTAGATCAAGCAGTGGTTCTCTTGTCTGTCTCCCCCGTGCTCATGAAAGGTGGCTGACCTGGGGGCTAGCTGCAGGAAACACACACAAAAGAGACTTGAGGCTACTGCCACTCTCATAATCTATTCTTAGCCCAACAGGGGAGGGTGGGTGAGGACAGAAGGTCGGGCAAGGACAGAATGCCTCTTTCCTAGGTTCCAACAGTTTCTCAGCCACCACCCAAGAGCCTGTCACTAAAGTCTTCACTGGCACCGATTAGGAGGTGCTCGCCAGAGCCAAGGCTTGTTGGGCATTGGATGGAGCTGCCTGGGAGAGAAACTAGGGTTTAAGTAGATAACCAAAGTTGGACTGACTCTCGGGGGATTCTGGAGACACTATTTCTGAAGAACTAGGTTCATATCAACAGAGAAGTTTCATCTTTAATTTTCCTTTATTACTGCAACAGTGTTTTTGTGTTATAAATTTACAATCCAGGAATTAAAAGAAGTGGGTGGGTGTAGTAACGACGTGTCCCAAAGAGCCCTGCTGGGATTGCTTTTCTGGACCATTGCCATCCACTTTGGGTGGCTGAGAAAGTCCAAGGAGATCCAGGAGAAAGGTCAGAGAGTGGCGGGTTCCACTCCTCTACCAGTATCTTGGAGTGGGGATTCTGGCACAGGCCCACGAAGGATTCTCAAAAGGGCTGGTGGTGGCGGTGGGGTCTTTAAAAGGTGGTGACTGGATTCTGTGAGCGAGGATCTGAGACAGGCAGGCAAGAGGGAGGTGACCTATCCCAAACAGGGAAGGGACAGCTCCTCGTTCCAAGGAGAGGTGGGTGAGGCTGGTTCACCCTCCCATCCCACTCCACACTCCTACATACACAGACACTACGCACCCCTGCCGTCCTGCCTGCCCCGTCAAACTCAGGCTGCCCTCTCCGAATCTACAAACACGAAATGCCAATGATACTAGCTACTCCCGGGTCTCCGAGTCGCGACAGCCACGCAGATGCCGCTGTCACAGTTGGAAGGCTCGCCCGTCACGGGAGCTAACCCCAGCTATTCGGCCGAGGCCACCCCGAGGTTGTGGAATAATGGGAGGACCCAGGGCGCACTCACACGTTCAGGACGTTGCGCTTGTTGCTGAGGTAGCTCTCGGGCAGCGGAGAGAGCTCTTTGAGGAGTGAGCCCGCCAGCATGGAGGTCACCAGCGCCCACGGCAAGTAACGTCGCACGGCCGCCCGCACTAGGGTCCCCCGGAGGAACCACTCGCAGCGCTCCAGATGCTCCATGCCGGACCTCGTGGGCCACCGTCCTCCTCCGGGTCCCCTCTCGGCCACCGTCCTGCCCTTCTAGGCTGGCCCCACCACCTCCCTTCCAGCGCATGCGCGCCATTCGCGGGCCCCACCCCTTGCAGAGCGCTCAGGTTACGGAACCTGCCCACGCCCTCTTGTGGCCATTGCGGGGCTTTGCAGCGTGCTTGAATGTGACTGAGCGCCCCAACTCTGCCGCTTCAGTGTTGCACCGCCAGACGTCAGGCTTCGGCTGCTGTGGTTCCCCTTGGTCTCTAAGTCTTGCCCAGATGTGGGAAAAGGCGTTTGTGTTTGCTGGAAGTTGAGGAAGAATTAATGTAACCCTGAAGTAATTGGAACAGTAGTTACAGCATCATTTAGCATCTCTGGGAGACTTGGAGAAAGTGCCTCCGTGTGCGCCTTAGTTTTCTCATCTGTAGAAGGGGAGACAAGAGATCAGCTTTTCCCAAGAGCTAGTTTATGAACTCAGGGATTCCTTAGGGTCGTCTAGGTATAAAGGGACATGAGATGGAATTTCATTGGAAAGTAAATCTGTAAACTAATTAGTAAATTTTAAAAAATTAAATGTATTTTCTTTTTTGAAATTAAATTAAATTTATTTATTTGGTTCCGGGAATCAAACTCAGGACTTTGCGCTTGCCAGGCAGGTGTGGCGCCATTGAGCTACATTCCTGGCCCTAAATGTATTTTCATTTAAAACAGTTGTGCTTATTAATGAAAATGCTGGATCCTGGGGGTTAATGGAACTGACACAAGGGTGTTGGTGACTCCATTCACCACAGAGATAAACCTTCACCCCCTGGTAACTTGGGACATCTAAATCAGGGTTTCCCAATGATGAGTCAGTCATTCCTTTGCCTTTGCATTCCTTTCCTGTGGCGGCTGTAAAAAATTACCATAAACTTGTTGGTTTAGGACAGCAGAAACTCTTTCACAGTTCTGGAAGCCTGAGGTCCAGAAACCAGGTGTCTGTAGGGTGGGCTCCTCCTGGAGGCTCTGAGGGAGAATCTCTTCTCTGCCGCCCCGACCTCTGGTGACTACTGGCAACTCTAATCCAGCCTCCATTTCACACGGCCTTCTCTTGCTGTCTCTTCTCTTCTGTCTCCTATAAGGACACTGGTCATTGGATGGAGAACCCATCCTAAATCCAGGATAATTTCATTATGAGAGCCTTTATTTAATTACATTTGTAAAGACTATTTTCAAATAAGGTCATATTCCCAGGCACTAGGGTTTAGAACTGGGACATAGCTTTCTGAAGGTCATTATTCAATTCATTACAGCCATTTTAACTACTTTTGCTGTCAATATATTATCAATTCTTTTATTTACTTATTATTTTTCTTTAAAACATATTCCTTTAAGAGTTAAATACTTACTAAAATAAGGTTAAACACCTACTAAATATGCTCCTGAGCTATCCGTGAAATCATGGGTCCTGTGTGCCAATTCTTCCATACAAAGAAAACATTTCTATTGAAATATTCATCACTGCTATCTGCCTAAAGTGATCTCATGTCCCTATACCTAAGATAGCTACTGCACTTGGGAAACAATGTGTGATTTATGCCTACCATGGACTGATATTTAAAGTAGCTCATACAAAACAAAACAAAACAAAAATATTGAGATAAGAGTGTTATAGACAGCTAAGTTAGGTAGAAATATTATAGGCATGGGGCTGGGGATTTAGCTCAGTGGTTCCACCACCTGTATTGAAACTGCAAGGTCCTGAGTTTGATCCCTGGTACCACAAAAAAAAAAATTATAGGCAGTCAGACAGGGATAGGCCTGCAAGGGAGTCGGTGAAGAGGATAAAAACACATTGCAACTGTGGCTGGAGGTGTGTCTATTGGAGGCCAGGGCTCAAGATAAAGACGGAATGTCCAGGGCTGCATGCATCCCCAAGAGATAAGCAATAAATTGAAGATTATATTATAATTGGTATTACTTGGTCCAATAAAGTCTAAATAGACATCAGTCACACCAGCTCACCAAGACATCCTAATCCATTCCTTCCTTAAAAAAAGACTTTTGTTCTTTCCATGTACACTTGCTATGTGACCTGATTCTCCATTGGATCTATATTATCTAAGTGGCTACACTTATTTTCTTGTTGGTTGATCATAGTTTTGACCCACATTGTGCCTGCCTTGTAATTTGGTATCCACCTCGTGATTTTTTTTTTTTTGACCAGGGATCGAATTTGGGACCTTGCGCTTTTGAGGCAGGTGGTGGAACCACTGAGCTAAATCCCCAGCCCTCCACCTCATGATTTTGCTCTATAAAACTTCCTTTGAGAAGTGGGCTCATTGGCAATCGACTTTTTTTTTTCTTTTTCTTTTTTGTACCGGGGATTGAACTCAGGTCTTTGCACTTGTGCAGCAGGTGGCAAAACCACTGAGCTACATCCCAGGCTCGGCAATCCACTTTTAAGTCCCCTGTCTCTCTCAATAAAAATTTCCTACTCTTAACCTCCATTGTTCCTTAGAATTCATTCTTCAATTTTGGGGAACACGAACTCGGCATATCCGATATCTAGCAGGTTAGGAGTTACATTTATTTCCCCTATATCATTTGAGAAAATTGGAAGGAGGTAAGAGTTTGTGTTTGTTTCATGGATTCTGGATTGTGACTCATTTAGGTAATCAAAAATTGTTATCCTTGTTGGTCAATTGCTTATGCCTTGAATTTTTATCCCTTGTCTTTTTTTACACATTATTTTTTATTAAAATCATGATAAATTTAAATTAAGCACATGGGATGATTATGATATTTCTTTGATGGGACATTTTACTTTTGCAGGCAAGACTTTGTATTCCTGTTTTGTATATGCTGCATTTGGACTTACTAGTTGCTGAATTTATTGGTGCTCCTTGCTTGACCTGTTTGACTTGTTTTGACTGTTGTGGTTTGTTATCTTATTTTAGACGTGAGCTCTAAGGAAAAGTAATGTCAGAGAGTCCCCTAGGGACTTTTTCTTCAGGTTTTTTTTTTTTGTTTTTTTTTTGGTACTGGGGATCGAACTTGGGTCCTTGCATTTTCAAGGCAGGCAGAGGAACCACTAAGCTGAATTCCCGGCTCCCCCTAGGGACTTTGATACTAACCAAAATATGAATTTACAAAATGCTGTAAAATGGGGTCTTTTTATGAAATCTAGTTTATGTTTAGGAAATATACATGCCTATTAATAAATTACTGGACTCTAACTGCCAGTTAAAAGGCAATAGGCTAGAAGCCATTCTTAAGACTTGGAGGACAGGTTTCACTGGGACAGTCTGGCCTGATCCCCCCTCTACACTCTAGAAGGGAATGTCAAACCCATTCTGCCTCAGTTTCCTTTCAAGTCTCAGTTTTCACTGGTAAGGAGGCAATCTTAGCTCTTGAGATTCCCCTCTTGCCTTTCCAGGCTGAGGGTGATGACTCCTGGGCAAATTGTCTCAATTACTTACTGTAAATGTGAGAAGAAAAGACTTCCTTTTTCTGATCTCATTTCTGATCTTTTCCTGTCACTTTGTACTTTCCTTTTTTTGGAGATATGTGTCTGCTAAAGATTAGAGAGGGTAGAACCTTGAACTGTCTCAACCTTTCCCTCCTAACCAACAACTAAGACCTTTTAAGTTGGGCCCATAGGAAATGAGAATCTGCTAATGCTGAAGACAGGGAAGTCATCTTAGAGGAGGAACACATACCCCATCTCTGAGTCAAATGAGAAATAGGAATGTTGCCTGTCCTGGAGAATACACATGAAAGTGATCTCCCTGGGCTGGGGATTTAGCTCACTGGTTCCACAGCCTACCTCACAAGCACAAGGTCCTGAGTTCTATCCCTGGTACCAAAAGAAAAAAAGAAAATGATCTCCCTGCTGAAATGTTCTAGGCAACAGTCTCCTGGGCATGGGAAACTGAACCTGAGACCTTGTGGAAAGAATCCATTTCTGGGTGAGACCAGAAGGAGCTATTTCCTAAGCACATTTAAGGGACCAAAACACATTCAGTTTAAGGGAGAATCCCCAACCTCCTGGTTCTCTCTCTCCCCTCCTAGGCCTGGTTCTCAATTTATGTGTGTATGGGAGGTAAGTACTTTTGCTAATGTCTAAATTGTGGTTGCTGAACCATGGGTACAGGTTTTAACCTGTGAGTTTCATAAGTATGTTGCAGATATAGAGAAATAAAAATTTTAGAGTGAAATTTGAGTAAAACTCAGCCTTGTCTTGCTGCCTAGTTGATTAGGTAGACAGCACAAATGTCTTGGGGACTTCTTTGCCCTAGGGACCAAGGCAGGATTTTTTTTTTTCCTGAGTCATTACTTGCCTCTATCTATCTCTGGAGGTGATTACTTTTGCAAGCTGGGAAGTGCTCCAACCACTTCCAATTTGCCCTTTTATTTTTTCCTTTCATGTTCAAAGAATTGGAAAGCAGTTGATCAGGTTTCTTTCTTTCTTTCTTTGGTACTGGGGATCAAACTCAGGACCTCGCACTTACCAGGCAGGTGTTCTGCTGCTGATCTACATCCCCATCCCCAGGTTTTTTGATTATTGGTTCAATTTAGCTAGCAATGCTTCCTTCTTTAAATGTGACTGTTTCCCCTGGAATCAATTATAACTTGTGCTTTTGGAAACACATGCTGGAGTTAGTCCCTACACAAGATCCCTACTGGCCTGCCATCCAGACAGGAGACTGAAATAGGAAACATCTTCAGACATGTATTCTTGAAGGTCTAAGAAGGATCAGAACTAAGTCCTTCAATTATTTTATTTATTTATTTATTTATTTATTTATTTATTTATGGTACCGGGGATTGAATTCGGGACCTTGTGCTTGCGAGGCAGGCAACGGCACCACTGAGCTAAATCCCCTTTCCCCTCCAATTATTTTAAATTTTCAGCTGTTCATCAGGAGAAAGATGAAAACCCTTCTGCCTTCTTAAATCATTTACAAGAGGCATTGATAAAACGTACATCCCTGGCTCCTGATTTGGTAGAAGGACAGATTATTCTTTTTTTTGGAGGACAAATTATTCTTCAAGAGAAGTTTATCACACAGTCAGCTTCAGATACTAGGAAAAAGCTGCAAGAGATAGCTTTTGGTCCAGATAGCTCACTTGATACTTTAGTAAGAAGTGTCTCCTCAGTATTTTATAATTGAGACCAGGAGGAG